TATTTTAATGGTCTTCCAGTCTCCGCATACCCTTCCCCTGAATCCATCCTCCACACTGCCATACATTCTCTAAAACATAAATCTAATCACATCATTCCTCTGCTTTTAAATCATTTGGTAACTGCTTGGTTACAAGGTAAGGTCTAAAAGCTCTCCCAACCTATCTCCTACTCCAACTGTCAACCATCCCCACCCTTGAGCCTCATGCCCCAGACTCACAGCCTCTGTTTATTGAGCAGAAAAGGGTCTCTCATGCTGCTGCTTCCTTTACCTATGCTGCACTCTCTGCCAGGAATATCTCTTCATTCTTGCTGCTAGGGAGTAGCAGCAAGGCAGGCTAGGTAGAAACGTGAGGAAGTGAGAGGAAGAAGAACATTACCAAAACAGTACAGTTCATATCTGGGTGTTCCATAAAATACTGAATGCATGCATGACTGAATTGCTGACAAGGAGTTCCAGGCTGCGGAGGCAGGCAAGTGAGAACAGATGGACTACAAGAATAGCTCTGAATTTTTTCCTGTTACTCAAACCCTTTTTCTATTTGCCGCCTCCTCCCATTCATTCAGATCTCTGTGTTTATGTTTCTTGTAATTTACAGACTACTATAACACTACCTCAGATGCATTTAACTGTGCCATGCATAATTTATTTATTCATTCCTCATAAATCAGCCCCTCCAGCCATCTGGAAAGCAAGAACCACTTCTACTGCCTTTCAAGTTCCTTTTAACTAATCTTTTTAGAACGTGCTATTGTGCCTGGTACAAAATGTAATAATTTATGCACAGTTTCACCACCGAATATCAAGGACTTTATGACCTTTCTTTTCTATTGCCGTTGTCATGATCATTAGGAAATCCTGTGTGAAAACATTAAAGTAAGAACAACTAAAAAGCAAAGCAAGAAAATTATATCATTACAGAGTATTGTAAGTGGACTGATTTTTGTGCATGGTTCATGGAAAACAGCTTCATTATTATATGGTCAGACTCTGGAAACCACAAGTAGTAATTCTCCTGTAAAGGACAGTGCAAAGTGAAGGACTGCTCACTTAAAACCATATTCTACAATCATAAGCAATGTCAAAATCTTGCCTGCCTCAGTTTTCTAGTTTATTAAATGAGAATAACGGATATTCACCCCCATCACCTACCGAGAGCAATATGGACACACAAAAAGTACTTTGGTCACACAGATGCCATATGAAATCATTTTTCATTAAAAGCAATGATGATAACTAAACTACTCTGGTTTAGCCAGAAGGCTTAAGTAGAGGTAGTTAATAGATGCCCTAACTGACCACTTCAGTGGAGCCAGTAATTAGCATAACTGATTCATTATGGTTATAACTACACATAAATGGACATGATACACAAATGTTCCCTTTACATTAGTAGGCAAATAGGAAAACCCACCAAATACTAAGCTATGAGTACCTCTCTCTTATGAACTTTAAATTCAGGGGCTCTCTTCTACTGTCACTGCCCTGAGGTAACTTTACCAGGCAAATTTCTTGTTGTCTTTATTTAAAATTTTTTTATTTACTCATTCATTTATTTTTGGCTTTGCAAGGTCTTCATTGCTGTGCAAGCTCGTCTAGTTGCGGCGAGTGGAGGTTACTCTAGTTGTGGCGTGTATTTATTTTTGGCTTTGCAAGGTCTTCATTGCTGTGCAAGCTCTTGTCTAGTTGCAGCGAGTGGAGGTTACTCTAGTTGTGGCGTGCGGGCGTCTCATTACAGTGATTTCTCTTGTTGCAGACAGTGGGCTGTAGGGCACGTAGGCTCAGTAGTTGTGGCTCCCAGGCTCTAGAGCACAGATTCAATAGTGTGGTGCAGAGGCTTAGCTGCTCCATGTCATGTGGAATCTTTCTGGATCAGGGATCAAACCTGTGTCTCCTGCACTGGTAGGCAGATTCTTTACCACTGAGCTACCAGGAAAGCCCCTTGTTATCCTTTTGAATCCATGTTTTTCATACTGGTATATTCATCCCAAGTTGTTCACCTCCCCTCAGAGAAACCTTTCCTGACCTTTCCAACTACAGTATTATTCCCGGTTATCATCTATTGTCATAATTAACTAGAGAATCTGTCTGTTTATTTATCCAACTAGATCTAAATTCCAGATCAGCTTGGATCTTATCTATGTTAATCCAGCCACTATATTCCTAGTGCCTATAGCAGTATCTGGTTCATAGCAAGTGCTCGATGAGTATGTGAAGGAGTTTGTCCTCACAGTGACAATAAGGTTCATTCAAACTTCTCAGCATGACATTCAAGACCCAAATTTACTTATTTAGGCTTATATCTTCCATTTTACACCTCTATATATTATGTTTGCTGCTCTGTAAAAGCTTACTTTCTGCCTTGAATGCTCTTCCTCCTACAAAGTAACTTATCTTCCAAGGCCCTTCTCAAACACACCTTTTCTGTGAAAATTTTTCCAGTCCCTCCCCCCCCACACACAGAATGCGTTCTCTGCTAAGTTCTTATAAGAGCTATAGCACTTATAATATAGGGTTATAATAGACATAAAATAATGATGATGATGATAGCTAACATTTTATTGAGCATTAACTTGATGCTAGGTACATAAGCATTTGATATATTACCATCTCATTTAATCCTGAAAACAACTCTAAGAGATAGATACTGTCATAAATAGTTATGTTTCTGTTAGGCTAGCTAGAATCAACTTCATGAATGCAGGTATGGTGTCTTAAAGCCTTGGTAATTCCCAGAACCTAGAAAAATATCTGCAATGTCATATGCTCTTAACACAAATTTTCTAAATAATGAATTCTGACAGTAGTTTCTTGCCCCATGACTTCACTTTGAGAATGGCAATCCCAGTAACTTAAAGAAACAGACAACAGTTTTAAGTACCTAAATTTAATCTTAAAGTGATACAGTCCTTTCTAATTATAACAAGAAATGCAGCAGATACAAAAGGTATATACAAAGTTTATATACATGTAGCTATATACAAAGTTTAAAATATTTGAATATTAGAAAAACAAAGCTAACAAAGGCAAACCAGGAAGAGAAAAAATATATTTCAACCTACATTAGAAAAAAGATTAAGAATAATGATATAAAGTGAAAGTCGCTCAGTCATGTCTGACTCTTTGTGACCCCATGGACTTAGTCCATGGAATTCTCCAGGCCAGAATACTGAAGTGGATAGACTTTTCCTTCTCCAGGGCATCTCCCAACCCAGGGATCTAACCCAGGTCTCCCACATTGCAGGCGGATTCTTTACCAGCTGAGCCACAATGGAAGGCCAAGAATACTGGAGTGGGTAGCCTATCCCTTCTCCAGTGGATCGTCCCAACCCAGGAATCAAACCGGGGTCTCCTGCATTGCAGGCAGATTCTTTACCAACTGAGCTATAAAGGGCTCTTATAAAAAAATAAGATAGCCCATTAGAAAAACAGGAACATCATATGAACAGGAAAACTTTCGGAAAAAGAATTTTTTTTGGCCATGTCATGGGGCTTGTGGGATCTTAGTTCCTCAACCAGGGACTGAACCCAGGCTCCTGGCAGTGAGAAAGTAAAGTCTGAACCACTGGACCACCAGGGAATTTCCCAGAAAAAGAAATTTAAATGGTTAATAAACATGAAAATATGCTCAAGTTCATTAATTTAAAAAAGTAAAAATTAAAATAATGGAGATATATTTATTTCATCATATTGTAAAGATGAAAAAATAATTATAATATTTAGCACCAGTAAGGTGGTGGCTACAAAAATGCTCTCATACACTTAAAAGATACATACCCCCCCACACACACATAGACACACAAATAGGAAAATATTGTAAACAACTGAAATGTGCATCAATAGAAGCTTAGTTAAATAAACTATGCTATAGCTATCCTATGAAATTATATGTAGCCAATGAAAAGAATGACATTACTAGATAACCAAACAATACATACGAGGAATTCTTCTTTCATAAATATATTCCAGATAATAAAAAAAAAAATTATAAAAGGGGGAAAGGATTTGAACAGACATTTCATCAGAGGATATAAATTTGGCAAATACGCACATGAAATGATGTTCAAAATCATAAGCCATTAAGAAAATGAAAATAAACCATCATGAGATAATACTACATAGCTGTTAGAATGGTTAAAATAAAAATTACTGAAAATACCAAGAGCTGTGGAGAATGCAGGACAAGTGGAACTACCTACCAAAGGTGGCTAGCTCAGATGCAAAATGGTACAGCCACTATGGAAAATGGTTCAGCAGCTTCTTATAAAGTTCAGCACACATTTATCATACTATTCAGTGATTTCACTCTGGGGTATACTATTCAGCAAGGAATGAACAACTTGGGTGAATCTCCAAAGCATTAAGCTGAGTAAATGAAGTCAGTCTCAAAAGTGGACATACTGGTCTTCCTTGGTGGTCCAGTGGTTAAGAATCTGTCTGCAAATGCAGGAGACACAGATTTGATCCCTGGTCCAGGAAGATCCCACAAGCTGCGGAGCAACTTCTGAGCTTGCACTCTAGAGACCGAGAGTTGCAACTACTGAAGCCTGTGTGCTCTAGGGCCCGTGTGCCACAAGAGAAACCACCACAATGAGAAGCCCATGGACCACAATGAAGAGCGGCCCCCACTTGCCTCAACTAGAGAAAGCCCACATGCGGCAACGAAGACCCAGCACAGTCAAAAATGCAAAATAAAAAGCTGACATACTATGTGACTCCAGGTATATGACATTCTCGAAAAGGAAAAACTATGGGCCAGAGAACAAATCAGTGGTTACCAGGGGCTGGGCGTAGGGGAGGTCTGAGTGCAAAGGCTAAGAAGAAGGAATTCTTTGGAAGTGTTTAACTATTCTATATCCTGTTGTTGGGAGGGGTTACAAGTAATCTACACACATGTTAAAACTCACAGGATTGGGTACCAGTAGATAAATTAATATTATTGTATATACATTAGAAATAATTTTGAAAAAGATAAATTATCATCAGGAGTAATAATATACCTTCTATTTCTCCATCTAAAGGAGGAACATCATCTCTCATGGAGAAATCCATGGCTGTCCCTGGTATGTCCATCAAGTCTTCATCACTGGAGCTACTTTGGAAGCTATTAAAACTCCCCTGGTGAAAGCCTCTGTGATCCATGGCTCCTGCACAAAAAGAAAAACAGGAGGTTTATTACAATGAGTTCCAAACCCCTTACCACTTATTCTTTTTTTTATTGTGGTAAATACACGTAAAATAATTTACCACTTAAACCACTTTAAAGTGACAATTCAATAGCAATCAGCAGATTTGCAATGACACGCAATCATCATCACTCTTCATTTCCAGAAATTTTTCATCATCTCACACAGAAACTCACTATGCAATAAATGTAACTTCCCGTCTCCCTCTTACCCCAGCTCCTTATAACCTCTATTTTCTTTCTCTCTGTGGATTTGCTAACTCTGGATATTTCATATAAATGTAACCATATAGTATGTAGCCCTTTGTGTCTGGCTTCTTTCACTTCTCATATTTTTTTCAAGGCTCAACCATGCTGTAATATGTATCAGTCTACATTTCTTTTCAGGACTAAATAATATCTATTGTATGGATATACCACATTTATTGATTCATTTATCAGTTGCTAGACATTTAGGTAGTCTTCACCTTTTGGGTTACCATTTATTCCTATGTCTTATTTTATGTTATTATTTAAATAATATAGACACGCAAACTACTTAACATATTCAGTTACCCTCCAGATATAGTGCACTGCTACCCTTACCACGTAACACAAGAGACAATTCTCCACATGGACATCACCAGATGGACAATACCAAAATCAGATTGATTATATTCTTTGCAGTCAAAGATGGAGAACCTCTATACAGTCAGCAAAAACAAGACCTGGGGCTGACTGTGGCTCAGATCATGAGCTCCTTATTGCAAAATTTAGGCTCAAATTGAAGAAAGTAGGGAAAAGATTAGGCCATTCAGATACGACCTAAATCAAATCCTTTAGGATTATACAGTGGAGGTGATGAATAGACTCAAGGGAATGGATCTGATAAGAGTACTAGAGGAACTATGGACAAAGGTTTGTAACATTGTACAGGAGGTAGTGACTAAAACCTACTCAAAGAGAAAGAAATGCAAGAAGGCAATGTAGTTCCAAGAAGGCACAATAAAGGACAAAAACAGTAAGGACTTAACAGAAGCAGAAGAGATTAAGAGGAGGTGACAAGAATACACAGAAAAATTGTACCAAAAAGGTCTTAATGATCCTTGACAGTGTGGTCATTCACCTACAGCCAGACATCCTGGAGGTTGAAGTCAAGTAGGCCTTAGGAAGCATCACTACAAACAAAACTAGTGAAGGTGATGGAATTCCAGCTGAACTATTTTCAAATCCTAGAAGATGATGCTATAAAAAGTGCTGCACTGAATATGCTAGCAAATTTGGAAAACTCAGCAGTGGCTACAAGACTGGAAAAGGTCAGTTTTCATTCCAATCTCAAAGAAAGGCAATGCCAAAGAATGTTCAACTTACAGTACAATTGTACTCTTTTCATATGCAAGCAAGGTTATCCTCAAAATCTTTCAAGCAAGGCTTCAGTATTACATGAACCAAGAACTTTAAGATGTACAAGCCGGATTTAGAAAAGGCAGAGAAACCAGAGATCAAACTGCCAACATCCGCTGGATGAGAGAAAAAGCAAGGGAATTCTAGAAAAACATCTACTTCTGCTTCATTACTACGCTAAAGCCTTTGACTGGGTAGATCACAACAAACTGGGGAAAATTCTTAAAGAGATGGGAATACCAGATCACCTTACCTGCCTCCTAAGAAACCTGTATGCAGGTCAAGAAGCAATAGTTAGAACTGAACATAGAAAAGCGGACTGGTTCAAAACTGGGAAAGGAGTACGTCAAGGCTGTATATTGTCACCCTGCTTATTTAACTTATATGCAGAGTACATCATGAGAAATGCCAAGCTGGACGAATCACAAGCTGGAATCCAGATTACCAGGATAAATATCAACAACCTCAGATATGGAGATTATACCACTCTAATGGCAGAAAGTAAAGAGGAGCTAAAGAGCCTCTTGATGAGGGTCAAAGAGGAGAGGGAAAAAGCTGGCTTGAAACTCAACACTCAAAAAACTAAGATCATGGCTTCTGGTTCCATCACTTCATGGAAAATAGAAGGAGAAAAAGTGGAAGCAGTGACAGATTTTTTTATTTTCTTGGGTTCCAAAATCAGTGCAGATGGTGGCTGCAGCCATGAAATTAAAAGACACTTGCTCCTTGGAAGAAAAGTTATGTATGACAAACCTAGACAGCATATTAAAAAGCAGAGACATCACTTTGCTGATAAAGGTCCATCTAGTCAAAGCTATGGTTTTTCCAGTAGTCATGTACGGATGTGAGAACAGGACCATAAAGAAGGCTGAGCATCCAAGAATTGATGCTTTTGAATTATGGTGCTGGAGAAGACTCTTGAGAGTCCCTTGGACAGCAAAGAGATCAAACCAGTCAATCCTAAAGGAAATCAACCCTGAATATTCATTAGAAGGACTGATGCTAAGCTCCAATACTTTGTCCACCTGATGCAAAGAATTGACTCACTGGAAAAGACCCTGATGCTGGGAAAGACTGAAGGCAGAAGGGAGAAGAGATCAGCAGAAGATGAGATGGTTGGATGATATCACCGACTCAGTGGACATGAATTTGAGCAAACTCTGGGAGATAATATAGGATGGAGGAGCCTGGCATGCTGCCATCCATGGGGTTGCCAAGAGTTGGACACAACTTAGCAACTGAACAACAACAACAAGGACACAGAGGAAACTGAATCTCTCAGTCTTCCCTCCTGTCATTCAGGAAGAACTGTCTTTACTCTCTATTTAAGAAAAAACAGTTTCTATACTTTGCTCTGGATCTGACCGTGCCTTACTCTGAGTATCCTTATCCTTTAAGGAAACCTACTATCTCTAGCTCTCATCTCTATCTTAAGCTCCAGAAACTGAATTCCCAAGAACTCCGTATACACTTCTTTTGCTGTTTCAAACCCAACAGGATGAAGATCAGAAACAAGCAGAAATAACCTTAACCTAAATACAAATAATAACCTCCAAACAAGGCATGTTCCCTGCCCTCACCCCTCAAATCAACTTTCCCTTTTAAATGTAGATGGCATCAGAGTCAATATCTACACTTAATATTGGTCTAACTCTGGGATTTACTATGTTCAACAAACCTATAAAAGCACTCAATCTTAGCAGTAGGTATTCCAGGTTTCTAGAAATCTTAAAAGAAAATAAGCACCATTTTAGCTGATGAGAAGAACTCAAGAAATTTTCTTTCTGTTTAAATTCATCCAACACCCATGAATTCCAGTGACTAGCACTGAAAAGTAGGCAAAAAAAAAAAAACTGCAAAACGATGCAGAATCCTTTCCCTCTCTCTTCACTGGTTACATATTTCATCCAGGAAATGATTTAAAACACACAGTTCCAGCAATTCTACATTAGCCACACAAATCATAAGAAGAAAAAGTATGAGGAGTCCAAAAATAATTTATATTTGGCTTTGGAATATGTCCTGTAGTCATATTTTTAGAGGGTGTACCTATTGTTCTGGGAATTCATTAAAACAAAATAATGACACTACACGATGAAGACTCAACAAAGGAGAAGCTGGAAAACTTTTCCATTTCCCCATAGGGGCCTTACAAACTCCTTCCTGTAACCCACTGACACAGAACAATCTGGCTAAATTGAGCTGCCTCATTTCAAACATTTCCTGCAGCAGTTATCTGGTTCAGTGTTTGGATTATAAAGTACTTCCTTAATAAGCATATAGAAATAAAGTATCAACAAAAGAAAATTATAAGAAGCAAGCAGATCAAGCAAAACAGATGCAACAGACTGGGGGTTCAACAGAGAAAATAACCATAATCAGTAAAACTCAAAAGTGGTATCTTGCCTGTGGATAATACATTATAGTAGTCTTTGGTTTTTATTTTGCAGATATAAAACAGTTCCATAAGAAAAGTTAAGGCAGCAGAATACTGAGGAAATAATGTAAAGTTCCTACAGTTAAGATTTGATCCTGCATTTAGTTGAACTCCAAGTCTATTGCTCTCTCCATAATACTTTTGAGCTTCACTATGAGATGCAGTCCAGAGAATGGCACATCTGGAATAAATCAAATCTCTAGATGGTCACATGCGTGAGGTCAGCCAGAATTTAGGGTAGACCAGGAACAAAGGGGATTTGTTTTATTATCCCAACTAATGGATTACTATAGGGCTTGTCACACAATGGAGGGCTACAGGGGAGGGTAAACAAGGAAAAATGTTGTTTGGTTGATATCTGCATTACATAGCTGACATTTTCAGGGCCTTTTGTCACCTTCTTGCTTAAAATCATAAGCTGGTTCTTTTGCCTCTGGGTCAGGTTTACATTTTTTTTTTAGCATGGCATTCAGAGCCCTATCAAAGCTAAATCCCATCTTCTCAGACAGACTTATCTCTTGCCACAGATTTGTTATACTCCACATAGGCCTTGTACTTCTACATCTCCATGCCTTTGCTCATCGGGTCCAGATATTCCAGCTGAAATCCCATCCAGCCGCCATCCTCTTTTCAGCCTGGTGAAATCCCCTTCAATCCATCTAGGGCCAGCTCAAACAGGCTTTTCCCTCAAAGCCCCCTTTGTTCAGACATCTATGCCGATTGCATAATCTCTTCCACTTGAGTCTTGTGACTACACCATGTCCTTCTCACTTCTGTTGTCTCAACAACTCTAGTGTTGTTCCTGAGAAGGTATTCAATAAACACTTATTGAGGAGGATTCTAGTTGGGGAGGAAGGGTATTAGCTAATCAACATATTTATGTAGCCAACACTCAATAAATCTATGCCTTCAACTATGAGGGAAGAGGATTAAGGATACAAAAAGCATTTGTTACCCTGTCACTGCTCTCAAGGAATTTGTGATCTAGTTGGGGAGTAATAGCTCAGTTGGTAAAGAATCCGCCTACAATGCAGGAGACCCCGGTTCGATTCCCCTGGAGAAGGGATAGGCTACCCACTCCAGTATTCTTGGGCTTCCCTTGTGGCTCAGCTGGTAGAGAACCCACCTGCAATGCAGGAGAC